TTTGGAAAAAACCTAATTAACATAATTAATTAATTTGACCATGAAGGAAGCATCTGACAGAGTTCACACAGGCAGAAAAAATGCTCACCGTGTGAAACTCTATCAGAAATTTTTTTTTCTAGATTTTTATCTGTTACGATAGGAGTGATGAGCAGTTTTTTGAAAAAGTACATGAACGTAATTAATGAAATAGACAATTAAGGAGGCATGAAATGGAGGTGGTTGGAAAGTAGATTGCCGTAGATGTAGCTACCGGTTGAAAAACTGAAAGTAATCCGGTGTGCGAGCGTGACAAATTCAAATTAGAATATTTCTTAGCATAATGGCCGAACTTTGAGAGATGAAACTACATTGAAAATACTGTGTCAAATGAGATTTTTTTCCAGTCGAAACCGAAACCTTGAACTTCAAAACGAATAAAAAAGAATCACAATAGAACTGAAATAAAATATAAATTGAAAAAGGAATTAGAAGTGCAAAATACGAAAATGTATTATTAGATTGAGCAAATAGTTCGCGATCCGATCACGTAATTTGTGAACACATAACTCCTGTCTTTTACATAGAAAATTTGTTCACAAATTACGTGATCTAACTGCGAACTTTTTCCTCATCCTAGTAGAATGAAAAACGTGTGAAAACAGAATTGTGAAATCTTTTGTTTTGAAAATAAAATATGTGAAATAGATTTAAACTCTTATTCCTTTATTATACATATGAAAATTTTTATTAAATTATAATATAAATATGTATGTAGTTTCTTGAAAATATATGAAATAATATAATGAATTATAAATAAGAAAAAAATAAGAATTTTAGCTACATCAACTATTGCGACGAATAATAAAAGTATATTTATTAAATAAATGTCAACAAATAGAGAAATCAATAATAATAAATCGAAAATCTGAATTTGAATTGTATTTATAAAAAATTAATATGAACTCACTAATTTTGTAATAATTTAGAATAAATTATTATATAATTCCATTTCATGTATTTATTATAATTTTTTTCGAAATATTTAAGAATGAATTACAAAGAATAAGTTATAATTAAATTTACAAAAAGAAAGAAATCTTTCGACTTTTATATTATTTAAAACTTTCTTAGTATTTTTTTGATATATTTCGTGCAGAATTATAAACAATGATAAATAATTCGGCGATAATAAAATATTTTTTATTCATATCATCATATATATATTTAATATATATTTTTTGAAATATTAAAAGTTGAAATAAATCATAAAAACGAAAAATAAATAAAAAAAAAATAATTTAATTAAAACAAATACATAACTGTGAACTATAAGATATAAATTTTTTTTCTTTTGAAGTGGAAGAAAATGAAAAATTCTCTGAATATTCTGAAGAAAATATCATAAAAAAGTATAATTAATTTTAAAATAAAAAATTCCATATCAATTTCACATATATATGGTGTTCTCTGTCCCGCTGTGTCGTGTTATCACTTATTATGTATGATTCAATTGTTCGATGCCGTGACATGTCCTCACACTATACATAGTTCATATATGTCCCACGGAATGTTAACGTATTGTCCGATGTATTTATGGAATGATATGTCCGTCTCGCTATCGCTTTATCATTGAATGTGTTCGTCTAATGTGGGACAGACCATTCGATATCGTTTTGCCTATAAATAGAGCGAATTTTCATATAATCTATTCATTCATAGAAATTCACAACATCGATAACATCCACTTTTCTACTATCGTCTTCACTCCTTCGAACAACATCTTCCACTTTCAACTGTTATCATTAGGTATGTTTATGTTTTCATAATTTTATATATTTCACTTCACGAAAATATTTTTGTTATAGATTTTTCCAAAGCAACATAAGAAAATTATCGTTGAACTATATCGACAGCTATACATCTGAACTTCTTTTGAATTAACAAGTATGTTTTTTTTTTGGTATCAATGTTGCATATTGATTTTTTTTGTCTATTATATTAGATCCTTGTTTCCTTTACAACTTTTATAGTTCACATATGATGTGGTCAAGCTGATCGTATTGTTAAATGTATTATGCCGTGGTATGTCTTGCTCTCTCTCTTTCTCTCTCTCTATGCTTTCGTGTGTCCTACGAGAGATCACTCTCTCTTGGCTCGCCTATAAATAGGGCAAAATTTCATATAATTCATTCATTCGAAGATATTCACAACAGCAGTAACATCGACTATTCTACTCTTCTTATCACTCCCACCAACAACTGCATTTACTCTGATCATCCACCATCAGGTTTGTTAATATATTATTTTGGTATATCTTTTGGCTTCACAAAATTATTTTCTTATAGATATTATCAAACCAACAGCATTAAATTATTCTTGAACTATAAAAACAAGTGAAGAACTCATCTTGTTTTTTTATATTAATATGTATTGGTTTCTTCTCTATACATGGGTCAGATTTGAATTTTCTTTTTTTTTCTATATTTTAATAACGTTCATTTTTTTTATGTATTTAGTATAGTTTTATGTTGTTACATTTCATTGAAATTTAATTTCATTTTTCGTTGAAACTGATTCATTCTTTTTTATGTACACGAAAAAAATCCTTCTATTCAACTATTTATATTATAATCTTTTTTCATAATTATAGACATTTATTTTTTATTGTGACAACATCTTCTTTTACAAGATATTCACAGGATTTTTTTTTCTTCTTTCAGATATAAATATTTATTATGAGTGCTAATACTCATTTGAAAAATTCTACAGACCAGCCGTTACATAAAACTGATCAACATATTGAAGGTGGAGTTTTATCTTCAACAGCAGTGATAATACCTCAACAACAAAGTACACAACAAGATGGACAAGAAAACCAAATGAGAAAAAAGAAATGTCGTGGCAATCGAAAAAAGCAACGTTATCGCCGACAACTTTATAATCAAGGTTTCGATTCTGACACGGTAGCAAAATTAGTTCAGGAAAAGTTCCATCCTCAAGTGCAACAACAACAAAATAAACCAATAGTTGAAAAACATGACTTAAAAAATGGCCAAGTATGTTTTTTGTTTTACTTAATTGTATGATAAAAAGTTCTTCACTATATTTTATGTAGGAGACAGAGTCACCAATAAATAATATTCATGATCCTCCACTAATCGAAACAGGAACGAAACGAAAAAGAATTTTGTTAACACCAACATCAACAACAGAAACAATATCAATACTTGATAAACCCATAAGTCAATTGTCAATATCACAAACAGGTCCTAAGAAAACCAAAACGACAACAACAATCGAAACCACATCGATACTTGATAAACCTTTTAGTCAATTGTCCATATCACAAGAAGATGCGAAGGACACCAAACCAACTACAGCAACTACAACAGCATTTGTAAATGATGAAATTAGCAGTGGTAATAATGAGCCAACAAATAATTATTTAGAAAATTTTATACCACGTTATTTAAAAGTACCTGATCCAGTATTTAAACGAATGTTAGCTGAAAGTATTGAAAATGGTTCCAAATTAATTGAACCTTTAAATACTTCTGAAAAACTTCATGTTGTTCGTGAAATAACTGAAATTACCAATAATTTATATTATAAAGATTTTCAAGAAAAATTATGGCAAGAATATTATAATATAAGTTCTCAAGACAACAATTGGGAATCCAAAATAACTAAGCACTTTGCTCGTCAAAACAGTCTATATCAAATGTATAGACCAAAAAAATCTTATATTCAAGAACGTCAAGCAACAATTGCCAAACAAAAAGAACGAATAGGCAAGCAATTACATGACTATTTAACAAAATTATCAAATTATGTACAACATTGGCAGCCACCGATCGATGGATATCTATTATCAAATGCCATTAATGAATGTGTTTTACATGGTCAAAAAAGATTAAAACAAGAATTTCAATATAAAAAAGAAATGATAAAATTAGATTGCAATGATCATCAATTACTTAGAAAATTTTATGAATTAAAACCGAATGAAGAACTTATTCAATTAGCACAACATTTATGGCAAATAACTGCTGAAGAACAGAAAACAAAAGAACAACAACAAATACTCGAACAACGTATTTATTTAAAACGATTACCACCAGAAACAGATCAAATGATAGACCAACTACTTAATGATAATCGAACAACACTTTCCAATCTTTTTCTTGATCCAGATCAACGTGCTAATTTTGCGTCACGTTGTTCAAAAACAATCATACAATGTAAATTTAATTTAATGATTGTAGAATTAGATGAATTTGCAATTGTTACACATCGTTATAATTTAACATTAAATAATTTAAAAGAAAAATTATTAAATCTTAATAAACAGAATCCACATATTTATACAAGTTTACTGTTAAATGTTATTGAAGAACGTCGACAAGCAATGATACAACGATTTATTCGAATACGTCAACATAAATTGAAGACTTTTTTCGACCAGGCTCCGACGGTGGACAACAATTAATTCAACATAATCACCGTCGGAGCGAACCATTCATTTATACAACAATAAGTAGTTCATTTCCATTTATTGAAAAGAATATAGCTCTTAATTCCAATCTTATACAAATGTTAAGTAATGCTCGTAAATATATTCCACCATGTCAAAGTCGATTTTGTCATCAACCTATAAAGGAAATTGCAAATACAGAATATGAAACAGTATTAAGTTCAGTACAACAATGTCTTAAACGTAATGAAATGTCAATTACTGATCAACGTGCAAAGCAATCATTTGCAGATTTAGAACGAATCATGCATGATTTATATTGCAAACGATTACCACGTAAATTATATCGACGTGCTCGACGTGAATATAAACAAGTCAAACGTCTCCAAAAAATATTACATCGTCGTTCAGATATGATGATATGCCGAATTGATAAAGGTGAAGGTTTCTATATTGGTGATAAATCTATTATGCAACACAAAACTCTCGAATATATGAATAAAACTGAAGCTTATCAAGAACTTACTAGTGATTATTGTCCTTTGACTGATATATTACATGCAACAACAAGTGTTCTCGATTATCTCATTAAGAAAAAAGTTATTACAACAGCTCAACGTGATAAACTTTTACCGAATTTAGAAAAACTTGAACTACCTTATCTGTATCCATTACCAAAAATACATAAGGTAAAATTATATTTAGAGAATTCTTTCTTGCTTACTATTTTAACATGAATTTGTTCTTATTCGATCTTTTAGCTTGGAATTCCCATCAGACCCATCGTTTCTGCACTATATGCACCAGTAAATTTAATTTCAAAATTTTTGTATAAACTTTTATCACCGATCTACCTACAAGTGGCCCATGAAACAACAGTGATAAATAGTATTGATTGGGTTCGTAAATTAGAAAAATATACAGCCGATGGATATCTTAAATCAACAACAAACTTTATTACAGCAGATGTTGAAAATCTTTATACGATGATACCAAGAGAAGGTGGCCTTCATGCATTATTACGATTTTTAGAAAAATATTCAAACCATAGCAAGATAGGACCATTTAGTATAGATATGATAATGAAAATGGCTCGTCTCATTTTGGACACTAACTATTTTGCATATATCAATAAATATTATAAACAAACTCGTGGTGGAGCTATGGGCTCTGCCTTTACTCAAGTATATGCCAATATATATATGTTACAATGGGAACAAAACTTAATTGAATATCAAGCATCAAAGAATGAAATTTATGGAAGGTCAGTCTGAAATTCCTAATGATAACTTTCACAATTTCTCTGCTTAGATATATTGACGATATTTTTATGACTACCAATGAATCATATGACGTAATCACAGCCGTACTTCAACAAGCACAAAAACAAGATGTTAATATTAAAATAAATCCAACTATGAGTAATTCTGTTAATTTTCTCGATATTACTATTACCAATATAAACGGAAAGCTAAGAACATCGATCTATCACAAGCCTACAGCTGATCCTTATTACTTACCATATCAATCAGACCATCCACATACTATTCATCGCAATATACCATACACTACCTTAGTACGTGCAGCACGTCTTTGTTCAAATCTTCACGATTTTCATCGGGAACGTTTACGAATTCACGTATCCCTATTATTAAATAGCTATCGACCCCATTTTATCTCAAATCACTTTCAACGATTCTTTCAAGTACATAAAGCCGATATTCTATATAAATACTTCGACGAAAACACCTATTCTCAATTACATCGACAATTACTATATCAAACTTCAAAGCGTGAACTAGAAGAACAAGCTATGAAAAAAGATCCTGTTCTATTTCCACCAGTATTACAACAGCGACCATGGAATCAAAGGCTAATGTATATTAGACATCGATATGAAACTGGATATATTTCGAAGTTTTCCAAAATATTTCGCGGATGGTGGAAAAAACATTATCAATCGCCAGGATCAGAAGCCAATCGCATACAACTTCGACTCATGCCTCTCACAAATCGATCATTACAAAATTACCTCATACGCAAAAAGCCAAGAAAAAGTATTCTCACCAAACTGGACATTAAGACAGAACATGCCATATGAAACATATATTTCTCGACAAAATCATTGTACATTGTGTAAAGCGTGTTACTGATGAAAACTTTCATACAAAATAAAAAAAACATAGCCAAAAAAAACAGTTTAATCACAAAAATCACCACATTAAAATAAACCTTATCCTATTTTAGATAAAACATGTACACTATATCAACAAAAATCTACTATGTTACAATGAACAACTTATACGAAAACATCACCAACTCCAAAACACATAAAGAAGGTCAGTTTTCTACTTAAAACTCAAAACTTTACCGCAATAATCCAATATCCCATACCTTTACAGCAATATATGACTTCCTCTAGCCACATACATCTATACAGATATGAAGACTCCCCGCAGCAAAGAAAATCAGTGAACACTGAAAATCCATGACGCCTAAATATCATATCCACATTACAGTGTGATGCTCTGAATTTCGAGTCTTGAGTTCTTTATTATTATATGA